TGTTCAGCAGCGGACGCCATGACTCCCCAAAAACCGGGCGAACCTGCCCATCCAAACGTCAGTCTGAAGACGGCGACTAGTACGTCTCCTATCACATACAGTACAGGTCCCGCTATAGTGCCGATTGAATAGTGCCGATCCCGGTATAGTGCCGGTAAAATATCTGGACACAGAAAGCGCCCTCAATAGTGCCGATTGGGCACCACGGCGCCCCGCAATAGTGCCGGTTCACACACACACGCCAGCTGACACACACACGCACACACGGCTTGCCCAGCTACCGACAGGATTGCCTCTGATTGACTCGCTGAAGAAACTAGAGATCATCACCAAAGACAAGCTTGAAAAAGCTGTTGGGCAGTCATGGGCTAAACTTGCCACAAGTGATGAGTTGACCCCCGGCCTCAAAGGAGTTGACCTGTTGGAAGCAGGGAAGGCAGGAAAACCCCGTGAAGATGGAAACCCTGACATAGAACATCAACCACCGTCTACNCGCCCCGCAATAGTGCCGGTTCACACACACACGCCAGCTGACACACACACGCACACACGGCTTGCCCAGCTACCGACAGGATTGCCTCTGATTGACTCGCTGAAGAAACTAGAGATCATCACCAAAGACAAGCTTGAAAAAGCTGTTGGGCAGTCATGGGCTAAACTTGCCACAAGTGATGAGTTGACCCCCGGCCTCAAAGGAGTTGACCTGTTGGAAGCAGGGAAGGCAGGAAAACCCCGTGAAGATGGAAACCCTGACATAGAACATCAACCACCGTCTACCTACAGCCGAAATGAATGTGGTCAACACTACCAAGTCTTTGGGGCCCAAGCTCTCCTTTCGAAACATCTTCATGCAGCAGTGCGTCACATGGTGGAGACAGACTTGCAGAAAGTAGTAGGCGAGGAAACGCCAAAGAAGAGAGCGTTGATCCGCTTGGAGGAAGCGAAAGGCAAGGGAGTTTTGTCGTGGTTGACGACGCAAGGGTTGGTAGCAGATGAAAGAATGCTGCCTGATCTATATCGAGAGTCAATCGGTTGTGTACTGGGGAGTCACGATCGAGCAGACTGCAACACAGGCAAACTTTGTGGTGCAGGTGCATTGTTACCATGCAAGGACCGCTTGAGCCGAGCCTACTCCCTCGTCTGCACCAAGACCGGCGCCTCAGCCTTCCTCCATAACAGGATGGTTCGAGTAGTCCTCAAGACACTGCCCCGAGTGCCATATGCCCATCGCCGTTGAGGATTCTTCCCCTTTTACCACAGGCACTGGTAGGGGAAAGGGGCTATACAAGATGGATTTGGTAATCCCCCCAGGATTACACGCAGGAGAGAAGGAAGAGGACCTCTGCACCAAGTCCATTCTGATCGACGTAACAATCGTCAACCCATCAGCAGGTCGAAGCATCGACAAGTCGATCCTTAAGCCAGGATCAGCCCTCGAAGATCGAGCTGCAAGTAAGGCAAATCACTATGCGGGAACTTTCAACCCGTCTAGATCTACCCTCCTTACTGCTGCTTTTTCAACGAATGGTGGTCTTGGCAAAGGCACCAATCGACTCATCGTTGCTATCGCCAAACACTTGGCGCACGAAGCTTTTCGCCGGGGGAATTGTGAAGACGAAAGAGCCTTAGTTCGCCTGAAAGCGTTTCATACTAACAGGATTCGGAGACGGTTTACCTTCGAGCTAGCTCGTTTTCTGTCGATGCGAACTCGCGATGTGTTCAAACGTCATGGGCTACTGATCGACCAACTTCCACCAGGGCCAATCG